ACACAAGGGTAAAAATATATTACATCTGTCATATTGAGTATTTGCTCCAGATGCTGAAGCAGAGGAGAAATTCCTCTTGATGGTCTCTTAGAGAGGTGGTATGGCTGGCGTGCAGCTGACATTCAGTTTTAAGTAACAAGGAACTCGCCCGTATAAACACTGCTATAACTGACAGACTTATTCTTCCTTACGCGCGTGCACACATGCTATATATATAGATACACGTATATATGTATATATACATTATATTTATGTATACATAGATTGAGATTCTGTCTCAAAAAAAAATTAAAGCAGTGACATAAAGCATTGATTTCTGTTTTCTGAATTTGAGCTCTGACTAATTTATTTTGCATTAGGCAGCAGTCTTAACTGCTTATTTATACTGAACGGACTCACTGAACTTTTTTCACCTTCTGGAGAAATTCTGGGGCTATCTAGAATTGCCTGCTCTATGTATCTATGATATCTATAGATATCTATGGTATCTGTAGATAAATAGAGCAGGCAAGGGATATGAACAAGTCACAATGAGTTACCAGTTAAAGTTCAACAAAATTAAACTGCAGATTTTTTTTAAATTGAGACTCCCCCCCGCCCCAGGATTAGTTATCCTACTCAACCCCTCCCATCCATAAATACAACTACTACCTCTCATCATATCCTACTTCAACACTCAATGGAGAACGTAGGCACGCGTGTGTGTGTGTCTCAGCACTCAATGGAGAATGTCTGTCTGTGTGTGTGTGTGTGTGTGTGTGTGTATATACACTCACCCTGCCAGTATTTTATAGTTTTCTATGTGTAAAAATTTAATCCACTGTTTAAGATAGGAAGGAGAGACCAGGCTCAGTGACTCACACCTGTAAACCCAGAACTTTGGGAGGCCGAGGTGGGTGGATCACCTTAGGTCAGGATTTTGATACCAACTTGACCAACATGGTTAAACCCCATCTCTTACTAAAAATACAGATATTAGCTGGGCATGGTGATGGGTGGCTGTATTCCTGGTGACTTGGAAGGCTGAGGCAGGAGAATCGCTTGAACCTGGGAGGCAGAAGTTGCAGTGAGCTGAGATCAAGCCATTTTACTCCAGCCTGGGTGACAGAGTGAGACTCTGTCTTAAAAAAAAAAAAAAAAAAAAAAAAAAGAAGGAAAAACAACAAATTGTTTCTGTTTCCACATTTTTAATTGAGTAAGTGTATTCTTTCTTTGATTTAAAATGCCCCTTTTGGCGGGTATGTGGCACATACCTGTAATTCCCACAGTTTGGGAGGCCAAGGCACTAGGATCATTTGTGCCCAGGAGTTCAAGACCAGCCTGGGCAACATAGTGAGACCCAGTCTATTTAAAAAAGAAATTAGCTAGGCATAGTAGCATGCTTGTAGTCCTAGCTACTTGGGAAGCTGAGGTGGGAAGATTTCTTGAGTTCAGGAGTTCAAGGCTGCAGTGAGGCATGATCATGCTACTTCACTCCAGCCTTGGTAACAGAGTGAGACCCTGTCTCGAAAAAAAAAAAAAGTCACTTTTCCCGGAGTTTATTCCTTTTTGCTTGTTTGTTTTAACTGGCGGGCCAGGGATTAAAACTACAATATGGAGTAATGTAGGTTTAAGGTAGGTATTAGGATTTGTCGGGGGACAATAGGGAGAAAGGAAAGGCTCTTTAGCCTTACCACTGCATTTCTTTTTGATGTTCCACTTTCCCATGCCATTGTCACTTTTAGGATGGCAGCTTATATGCTCTGGATATGGACTTACCAGGATACTCCTTTCCTGTGGATTTGTGATCATCTCTAAGTGGCTTGGATGGGAAGGGGAGAGGGGGCTGGAATATAAAATACTGCCCGTTTGTGTTTTTTTCACCCTTTACATCATTAGAGATAATTTTAGGCTGGGCAAGGTAGTTCACGCCTGTAATCCTAGCATTTTGGGAGGCCGAGGCTGGCAGATCACCTGAGGTCAGGAGTCCAAGACCAGCCTGGCCAACATGATGAAACCTTGTCTATACTAAAAATACAAAAATTAGCTGGGTGTGGTTGTGCATGCCTGTAATCCCAGCTGCTCGGGAGGCTGAGGCAGGAGAATCACTTGAACTCAGGAGGCAGAGATTGCAGTGAGCCGAGATGGTGCTACTGCACTCCAGTCTGGCTGACAGAGTGAGATGCTGTCTAAAAAAAAAAAAAATTTTAAAGCAGTGACATAAAGCATTCATTTCTGTTTTCTGAATTTGAACTCTTTTTTTTTTTTTTTTAAGAGATGGGGTTTCACCATCCTGGCCAGGCTGGTCTTGTGATCCACCCATCTCGGCCTCCCAAAGTGCTGGGATTACAGGTGTGAGCCTCTGTGCTCGGCCGAATTTGAACTCTTTGACCAATTTATTTTACATTAGGCAGCAGTCTCAGCTGCCTATTTATACTGAACAGACTCACTGAATTTTTTTACCTTCTGGAGAAATTCTGGTGCTACCCCTTGAAGGTCATTGTGAAGCACCTATGGTTTATCTTTTTAATTTTAAAAAAGGAAGGTTGACTTGCCTGTTGAAATTAGTAGACTCTGCCAGTGGTGCCTGGAGGTTCATTTTGGCTAACCTGAGAAGGGGTTTCCATGCGATGTCTTGAACTGATCACAGTTCTTGATTACAGGAATATAATCTGAAATAGCTCTGACTTGAGAGAGCAGAACTTTGTGATCCTGTGACCAGTGTTCTAATTGTACTCATGGTGCGTTAGTGCTGTTCAGTAAGTTAATTCCTAGAAAAAGTGAAGTGTTTTTTTTTTTGTTTTTTTTTTTTAAATTGGGAATGGGGGAGGGAAACGGAACACATGTCAAATACAGAAAAGTCAAATTAGAACATCTACAGTCTTTGGCAAACAGGCTTTCATGTTCTATTGACCAATTCTTATTTAATATGTAAATGACTACAAGACACATATATTACTGCTGGTAGGTTTTGTGGCTTTATAAGATTGTTTGTTGGACAACTAGGTTTCTCTTCTATAGACTTTTAGTTGTGTTGCAGAAGTTCCAAATCACCTTTGCTGGAGTTGGCTATAGGCTTTAATACATGAACACTTAAGGAGAAAATCTCTGGACCCATTGCTATGAAATACTAAATGAAGCCGGGCATGGTGGCTCAGGCTTGCAATCCCAGCACTTTGAGAGGCTGAAGTGGGCAGATCACTTGAGGTCAGAAGTTCGAGACCAGCCTGGACAACACGGTGAAACCTTGTCTCTACTGAAAACACAAAAAATTAGCTGGGCATGGTGGTGTGTGGCTGCTTGGGAGGCTGAGGCAGGAGAATTGCTTAAACCAGGGGGGTGGAGGTTGCAGTGAGCCAAGATCACGCCACTGAACTCCAGCCTGGATGACAGAGCGAGACTCTGTCAAACAAAAAACACCTAAGTGAAATGAAACTGTGGTCAACGAATTTATTTAGGTGTTTGTAAGCAACAGTGCTTTCTTCCACAATGACAAACAAGGTGTTATTTTTAAAAAATTTGAATAAGCAAGTGTAAAAGAATTGAACTGCTTCAGCATAATTGTATCCTGCTGCTTAATGTTCAAGAAATTGTATAGTTTTTTGGTATTTAGCAAACATTTCTATCATCCTATATACTAATTACTGTTTAGTGCTTTATAAATATTAAGTGCTTTATAATATTAATTTAACCTGCATAACAACCCTGTGAGGTAGGTTATGTTATCACCCCAGCATTACAGATAGAGAAACGGAGTTACAGAGAAGTCTGGTAACTTGTCTAGATTTGTACACCGAGCAACAGAGAGGCAGAATTCAAGTTCAGGCATCAGATGTCAGAGTTAACTGGTAAGTGTCCTCTTTGAGTTGCTGAATATGGAAAACTTATCCCTAATGAGCTTCTGTGGCCAGTTTGGGCACACCAGCATTTGTGAAGACTTTAAACTAGTTACGACCTGGACTTGAAGTCTGGCTGTGCCACTGACACAGAGCTTTTCTGCATTCTTTCTTATCTGCTGTGCAAGGTTGTTGAAGTAAGATAATGAATGAAAGTGCCTGTGACAATAGTACTAGTTGTTACAAACCATCACTCCTCATTTTGGGATACGTGTTGCCGCTTTTTCTTAGGGTGGAAAGAGCACTGGATCCCTTCGCTGGTCTGTGGGGCTTCTCTTCTTTACATGATGTGAGACCTACAGTAAACTGCTTAATCTCCTTTAGCCTCATTTGTTAGAGAGAGAGAGAGAGAGAGAGAGAGAGAAAGATTTTTAAAAAATCTGTTTTTGGCCCACTGCGATGACTCATGCCATAATCCCAGCAGTTTGGGAGGCTGAGTCAGGTGGATCACCTGAGGTCAGAAGTTTGAAACCAGCCTGGCCAACATGGTGAAACCCTGTCACTACTAGAAATACAAAAAACTAACCCGGTCTCGTAGTGGGGGCCTGTAATCCCAGCTACTTGGGAGGCTGAGGCAAGAGAATCCCTTGAATCTGGGAGGCAGAGGTTGCAGTGACCTGAGATCACAGCACTGTACTACAGCCTGGGCAACGTGTAAAACTTCATCTTAAAAAAAAAAAAAAAAAAAAAAAGTCTGTTTTGAAGAACTTTGTGAGTTGAAGAACTTTGTGAGATTCAGATTTGATGATATGTGTGGAAGTGCCTTGTAAACTGTGAGATGTTATACAAATGTAATGTGGTTTTATTATTTTTAGCAGTGGTAAGTTGCCACAAATGTTAATTAGAGTTAATTAGGGCTCATTAAGGAAGATGGGATCTACTGGTTTTGGGCACTGATGCTGTTACATGGAAGACTGTACAGGCATACCTTGTTTTACTCTGCTTCCTTTTGTTGTGCTTTGCAGATACTGCATTTCTTACAAATAGAAGGTTTGTGGCAATCCTGTGTTGAGCAAGTCTGTTGGCAACATTTTTTTCCAACAGCATATGCTCACTTTGTGTCTCTATGTCTCATTTTGGTTAGGCTTGCAATATTTCAAACCTTTTTATTGTTTATAATTTTTAAAATATGTGGAATGTTTCATGAATTTGCATATCATCCTTGTGCAGGGGCCATGCTGTTTTTCTCTGTATCATTCCGCTGTTAGAATGTATGCTGCCGAAGTGAGCACCCTTTTCATTGTTATATCTGTTACAGTTATCTGTGATCAATGATCTTTGATGTTACTATTGTAATTGTTTTGGGGCACCACAAACCATGCCCATGTAAGATGGCAAGCTTGATAACGTTGTGTGTGTTTTGACTGCTTGACCTGCTGGCTATTCCCCCATCTCTTTCCCTCTCCTGGGGCCTCCCTGTTCTCTGAGACACAGCAGTATTAAAATTGGGCCAGTTGGTAATCCTATAAAGGCCTAAGTGTTCAAGTGAAAGGAAGAGTTCCAAGTCTCTCACATTATATCAAAAGCTGAATATGATTAAGCTTTGTAAGGAAGGCATGTCAAAATCTCAGAAAGGCCAAAAGCTAGTCCTCCTGTGCCAGTTAACCAAGTTGCAAATGCAAATCATGCTTAAGAAGGCAAAACAGCCTTATTGCTGATATGGAGAATGTTTTAGTGGTCTACATAGAAGATCAAACCAGGTACAACATTCACTTAATTCAAAGCCTAATCCAGAGCTAGGTCCTAACTCTATTTAATTTTATGAAGGGTGAGAAAGGTGAGCAAGTTGCAAAAGAGAAGTTTGAAGCTAGCAGACGTTAGTTCATGAGATTGAAGGAAACAAGCTGTGTCCATAATATAAAGGTGCAAGATGAAGCTGCACAAGTTATGATGCAGAACCTGATGTAGAATCTGCAGCAAGTTATCTGGCAGATCTAGCTAAGATAATTGATGAAGGTGGCTACACTAAGTGACAGATTTTCAGTGTAGATGAAGCAACCTTCTAATGGCAGAAGATGCCATCTAGGAGTTTAATAGGTAGAGAGGACAAGTCAGTACCTGGCTTTATTCGAAGGATAGGCTGACTCTCTTGTTAGGAATAAATGCAGCTAGTGACTTTTAAGTTGAAGTGGCTGCTTATTGTATCATTTTGAAAATCCTAGGTTCCTTGAGAATTATGCAAAATCTACTCTGCCTGTGCTCTGTAAGTGGAACAACAAAGCCTGGATTACAGCACACCTGTTTATAGCACGATTTACTTAGTATTTTAAGCCCACTGTTGAGACCTACTGCGCAGAAGAAGAAAAGATTCCTTTGAAAATATTACTGCCTACTGAGAATGTACCTGATTATCCAAGAGTTATGATGGAGATGTACATAGAGATTAATGTTGTTTTCATGCCTGGTAATACAACATCCATTCTCTATTCCATGGATCAAGGAGTAATTTTGACTTTCTCGTCTTATTATTTAAGAAATACATTTTGTAAGGCTGTAGCTGTCATAGATGGTAATTCCCTTGATAGATCTAGATGAAATAAATTGAAAACCTTTTAGAAAGGATTCACCATTCTGGTTACCATTAAGCACATTGATGATTTATGGGAGGAGGACCTCCATTAACATGGGTTTAGAAGAAGTTGATTCATAGATTATTTTGAGGTGTTCAAGACTTCTATGGAGGAAGTAACTGCAGATGTGTTGGAAATAGCAAAAGAACTACAATTAGAAGTAGAGCCTGAAGATGAGACTGAATTTCTGCAGTCTCATGATGAAACTTGAATGGATGAGGAGTTTTCTCTTATGGGGGAGCAAAGAAAGTGGTTTCTTTTTTTTTTTTTTTTTTTTTTTTTTAAAGAGACTGGGTTTCACCATGTTGACCACGCCGGTCTTGAACTCCTGAACTCAGTGATCCACCTGCCTTGGCCTCCCAAAGTGCTGGGATTATAGACGTGAGCCGTTGCGCTTGGCCCAGAAAGTGGTTTCTTGAGAAGGAATCTACTCCTGGTGAAGATGCTGTGAACGTCGTTGAAATGACAACAAAGGATTTAGAATATTACATAAATTTAGTTAGTTGATAAAGCAGCAGCAGGGTTTGAGAGAATTGACTCCAATTTTGAAAAACATTCTACCATAGGTAAAGTGCTATCAAACAAAGAGAACTCTTTTGTGAAAGGAATAGATAATTGAGTGGCAAACTTTATTGTCTTATTTTAAGAAATTGCCACAGCCACCCCAATCTGCAGCAGCAACCACTTGGATCAGTTGGCAGCCGTCAACATTGAGGCTAGACCCTCGACCAGCAAAAAGATTATGACTTGCCAAAGGTTCAGATCATTGTTAGTACTTTTTTAGCAGTAAAGTATTTTAAAATTAAGGTATGTACATTGTGTTTTTAGACATAATGCTCTAACAAACTTAATAATTGAGTATACAGTGTAAACACAACTTTTTATATGCACTAGGAAACCAAAAAATTCATGTGACTTTATTGTGATATTTGCTCTGTATAAGTGGTTTGGAACTGAGCCTGCAGTATCTCTGAGGTATGTTTGTACACATTCATTCATTTATTCAGTAATTACTGTGATTTAACAATTTTTTTACTGTGATTAATTACTATGTCAGGGGTGCTTTTGAGTTAAAAGATGACTAATGTGAATTGTCTAGGATCTTTGAATTATTTACCAATTTGAGGGCATGTTTGTGGAAACGAGCCAACATTAACAATAAAAAGGTGAAAAGTGTTCTAATGGAGATGTAGCATTTGCAGGTTACTATAATAGAAGGAGAGGGGAGAGAGGGGCTCCAAACTTCACTGTGTGCTTCCCTGGAAGGACCAGGAGTAGACTGTTGCTTCATTTCTGGGGTCCTGAATTGTTTTAGGAGCAACTATAAATTACTGGTTCAACGTATAGTCTGGCTGAGTTTAGGATTAATAGTTAACACCTGGGCTTTTTTATCATTTGAATCGTTTTGTGTTCTATTTGGTGTTACAGTTTGTGAGGACCTAAGTTCTGGGTTAATAAAATATTTGTTTTGATTTTTTGAAACAAAAAATGCAAATGTGCATGTGCTGGAGGTTGCGCTACAGCCTGACAGTAGCCTAGATTACACTGAGAGACATTCTCTTATTCCTTTTATTTTTAAGGCCTCTGAGGTTTAATTTTTCTATGGATTTATGAGGTTGATGGGAAGTGCTGTTTATCTTCTGAAGAGAGGTACTTTTTTTTTTTTTTTTTAGTTTAATGTCATATGTACACCACATTAATGTAAATACTGGAAGATGATGAATTGGTCATGACCTGGGGGCATTTTTTAAAACCTCTGTTTCTCCTCTCTGGATCTTCATGGAATTTTTTTAAAAAAGCTTCTCGTGTATACTAGGAAGAAACAATATCTTTCAGTGTTCATATAATCATAAAACAACTTACTAGCTCTTTTATCCGTGGCTGTAAAACCTGTACTACACACATGGCACGTTAAGTCTTTACTAACTACCTATTATAAATTATTTTCATCTTGAGTAGATGGCAGTGGCTCTGTGAAATATTGTCTTGTAGGAATGTGGATGACAATATTGAAAAATGAACTGCTTTTTGCTTTTTATTTTTTAGAATTACGAGAAACACCATGGTAACAAAAAAGAGTTATTTCAGCCTGTCTGACTAAAAGAAGTCATGCTTCTAATTCAAATAAAATACTTCTAATTCAAACCAATCAACATTCAGGTTAATTACCTGCCAGTGGGTATTTTCCATCGTCTATTATTAAATAACACCAATTTGCCCTCTATGAAAATTTTTACAGAGACTTCAGTTAACTCATTAGTGCAGTATCAACACTTGACAAGCTGATTTTTATAGGGGATAGTAACAGAAATGTTAGCAGCAATGCATTCAGAAGGAGAATAGTTATTGGCCCTTGTGATTATAAAGCAAAAGCTCAATGATCCCTTGCTTTGTAACCAAGTCATATGAGGGGCATGGTGTTTTAACCAAAATGAATATGCACTGAGAAAAAGTTCTATAAACATATTTTGGAACTGTTTAAGAGAATGTCATTCTTTTTTTTTTGAGGCAGGGTCTGGCACTGTTGGTTAGGCGGGAGTGCAGTGGTGCAATTTTCATTCACTGCAGACTCCGCCTCCTAGACTCAAGCTATCCTCCCACCTCAGCCTCCCTGGGACTACAGGTGCATGCCACCACATCCGGCTAGTTTTAATTTTTGTATTTATTTGTAGAGACAAGGTTTTGCCATGTTGCCCAAGCTGGTCTCAAACTCCTTAGTTCAAGTGATCCATCTATCTTGGCCTCCCAAAGTGCTGGGATTATAGGCACGAGCTACCCTGCCTAGCCAAGGATGTCACTCTGAAGATACCACACAAAATTTCATTTGTAAGAGTAGCGATTATCTTGTTAGTATAGTTGAAATGCTTATTTTATATCCTGAATTGGCTTTTAGTCACTATAATTGGAAGCTGTCATTGCTTCCTACTTTTATAGATACGCATACTTTCCCTCCCCAGTCCCCCATCAAAACAACAACAACAACAACAACAATAACAACAACAACAAACACCCTCTTGGTTTTAAAAAACTGACAGATTAACCCAGGTGCCATCAACCTCTAGATAATCCTAATGGGTAAAAGAAAGTAGTAGAGTTCATTTACCTTTAGGGTACTATCAGAGGCACAATTATTACCCCATACACAGTATCTTCTTTGTCTTTTATCTTATCCCTTTTATCTTTATCTTACCTCATACACAGTATCTTCTTTATCTTTTAGAAACATGTACTATTGGAATAGAACAAACCAGGGTTGTCTGTAGACAGTTACTCAGAACCTGACAAATGCCGTAATTGAAGTAATACCTGTTAGAGTATTGCTTTGCCAGGCTTCACTGGTATAAAATGCGTGACAACCTCATGGGTAGCCCAGAGATGGCCTGGAATCTTTGCACCAGAAGGGACCAGAGGGCGTCTAGTACATCTTCTTTTCTAGCATAGAAACCTCCATTTGTCCATTCCTGATTGATGGTTAGTTGGCCTCTGCTTGTTGACTGCTTTGTGTTGAACCTTGGCTCCTTGAAATATGATCTGTGCACCATCACCATCAGCTTCTCTTGGGAGCCTGTTAGAAATGCAGAATCTCATGCCCCACCTCAGACTTACTGCACAATTGGCATTTTAACAAGATCCCCAGGAGTTTCATCTGCACAGTGGGAATG